ATCTTTGGAATTCACTAACAAGTTTTTGTTTCTGCAGTGTAGCCATGGATTCATAAAGTTATGAAATGGTGTAAAACCTTGGCCAGTATTTCCAAGCTCTGACACACACACACACACCCCTCATTGCTTTGCTCTCTCAATCCTGGGGTTGTTTTCTATATGTTAGCAGTAGGCCTGCCTTTTCATTTTCTTCTTTGATTTTCTTTAGTAATTGTTCCAAGCCTATGATAATTTCTGCTAGTAGTATGATGTCGTCTGCATATCTTAGACTGTTGATGCTCTTTCCTTTGAATGTCATTCCTCCTTCTACCGATTCTAAGCCTGCTTTTGTATGATATTTTCTGCTCTTTACCCCACTCCAAATAGGTTCAGGACCTTGGAAAGCTATTTCAAAGTTTGCACATCTGGCAATATAGAATGGATTCTCCATCACATTGAAAGGAGAGCTACCAGCTACCATTGATTAAAGCTCCCTATCACCACAAACTAAAATGGGGAAGTATGTACCAATGTGTGCATGTGTTGTTGACATGGACATGATTATGCATAGTCTTCCATCAATGCCAGATGCAAGCCCTTGGGGACAAATTCGGAAATGGGGAGACTACTGCAAGTGTTGGATGAGTTTTCCATCAGCTTCACATGTCTATATTTGGCAAGTGGGCTGGGGCACAACTTTAATTTGTATTGTCTTCAACTGTTTATTAGAGTTAATGCTATATATATTTCTAATCCTCCTTCCTTTGCTTTTGAAGCAGAGACATTCCAACCCTGTATTCATGCTAGCTTTCAATCAAAAAAGATTACAGAGTAACATGGACAAAATTGCACATTACTTTTCAAAGAACTTTCCCTTTGCTCTATTTAGAAATAATGCCAAGCCAATCATTATTGAGAAGTCGTACTTTTAATTGAGAGTTTGCAGCATGATCTAGCGCATTGCTTTCTCCTCTTGATGAAGATGAGTGTCAGGTCATTTAGAAGACTCTATAGAGGCAGGCTTTTCAATTCTGTTTACATTCCCTCCCTCATGTACTTAATGTTACTTTCATAATAATTTTGGAATTTTAATTTACTATTGTTTTATAATCTTGTATGTTTTGATTATATGTATTTGTCAGTTTGCTTTATATTAGATTGGTTTTTTTTGTATTTTATCTGGATAATTTGTTTTACAAATGTATTGCATATTTTTATAATTCTTTCTTCCCCCCCTCCTCTCTGTACATATATTTTAGACTATATACCTTTGATAGGACCCACTGTTTTTGGTTAGATAATAGGACCTGGAACAATGGATGTTGGCTACAAGAAAAGAGATTCTACCTAAACATTAGGAGGAACTTCTTGACAGTAAGAGCTATTCAGCATTGGAACACACTCCCTCAGAAACTGATGGAGTCTCCTTCTTTGGAGGTCTTTAAACAGAGGCTGGATGGCCATCTCTTGGGAGTGCTTTGATTTTGAGTTCCTGCATGGCAGAGAGTTGGACTGGATGGCCCTTGTGGTCTCTTCCAATTCTATGATTCTATGATTCTGTGATTCTAAAGCACCATATACATTGATGTTATTGTTAACTGCCTTCAAGTCAACTCCAATTCAGGGTGACCCTGTGGAGGAGCCATTACCATGATGCCCTATCCTCCATTGGTCTGCTTAGGTCTTGTAAGTTTAGGCCCATGACGTCCCCTTATGAGTCTATCCATCTGGCATGCTGTCTTCCTCTTTTTCAACTGCCTTTTACCTTTCCTAGCATTATTGTCTTTTCTTATGAACCATGATTTCTCATGATGTGGCCAAAATATGAAAGCCTCAATTTGGTCAAGTTGACTTGCAGGGAGAATTCAGGTTTGATCTGTTCAAGGATCCATTTGTTTTTCAAACAGTGCAGAGGGATCCTGCAGCTTATTTAAAAAGTGAATTACACTCTTTTTAAAAAAGTTTTTTTTTTAACATTAATAAAATTTAATTTTGAAAAAAAAGTGAATTTCTGCTCCTGGAGAGGCCAATCACTGATATTTTTTTTTTAAAAAGAAAAAAAAATGGCCGTAAAAGTGATTCTGGAGGGGTTAAGGACCCCAAAACAACCTTGGGGGACACACCTTGTCCATCCCTGTTTTACATGGAATGCATTAGCAGACCATATGAGTGTTCCTCATGAGCAGAGACTATTACATTAGCTTAAATCAGGGGTAGGCAATCTTTCCCCTTTAAGGGCCGAGGGATTTCAGTTCCCAGAATCCCAGGAGCTATTGGCCAACATGGGACTATTGGCCAACATGGCTGAGGCTTCTGGGAGCTGGAGTCCCTTGGCCCTTAAAGGGGAAAGGTTGCCTACCCCTGGCTTAAATGTTGGGAAGACACTGTGTATGCAGCACTTGTCACCTACATGTAGATCCCCAACCACCACCACCAACAACAACAATGACATGAAAGAGTTGCCTACTGCCTCTGTAGTGTTATAGTATGTTCACTAAACCCAGGATCATGGCTTGAACCTGACTGGTGTCTGATGCAGATATAAAGTTTCCTGAAGAAGCAGCTGGACATTTTTATCTGAAAACATCTGGATTCAGTGTTCAAGTTTTTAGGAGTGGTGTTTGTTCATGTGGGGCCATAGTGCGTGATACAGCAACCACACTGATGGTCATGGTGCATTTCACATGGGGCATACAAATGCAGATGTATATTGGGTTGCACATTTGATTGTGCCACATCACACCTCTTTAATGAGGCAACATTATACAACTGCCAAGCAATTATGTGGATGTAAATTTACTCTTCATCTCTTTGATTTGGGATGGGATCCTGGCCTATGACTTTTGAACTGAGAAAGATGCATTCCTTTTATCAAAATAAGAATACGGCTATAGAGCTGGAAGAAAGAACAAGAACCATGTCATACAGCATTGCACAACTAAAGAACTAGAGGAGGAAGAGGAGGAGACTATAATTTAATATTTAAGTGCAGCCACTTTGTGACCCAAATTATTGTATCTCTTTATGACAGTGCTGAGACAGCATTGTTGCATTCATTTCAAAGCCCCTGTATATTCCGTAGCTTAGAAGAAATCATAATTTAAGGCAACCCTCATTCAAGCAGACTAAGTGCAAACATCAAATTTTGCAAAGATCCCCTAAGGATGAGAGAATTTATTTTTCCTCTTCCTTCTTTTATTATTATTTAAAAAAAAAAAAAGCTACAGTGAGTGCTTCACTGAACCTCTGCCAAAGAATCCCCTTGTGGCCTGTATAAAAATGTTTGCTAACACCACCATTTATCTATTATGCCCATAACCAAATTATACCTCCATCAGTATTATTCCTTGTATACACACACACACACACACACACACACACACACACAAGGCAGAGTATTGATTGAGTGAAGTGTGCTAAGATATTATACTGTGGTATACAAAACAATGCCTCAAAGATGTCATGTGAACATCTTTATCATTCAAATGCACACACACACACACACCAGAACAACAATTAACAAGATCCAGGACATTATTTTGATGGGATGGACCTTATATGGGTAGTCATCAAATGCCTGTCTTAACATAAAGCTCTTTACTTGTCTTTATTGCAAAAAGAAAGTAGGGAAGGTGCCAGTCTAACTTCTTTGGGAAGAGAGTTCCAGATCCTGGAGACAGCAACTGAGAGACTCTCTCTTGTGCTCCCACCAGTATCCACCAGTAACTACTGGCAGTGGGACAGAGAGAAAGGTCACCCTAGCAGATCTCAAAGCATGGCTGGTTCATAAGGGAGAATATGGTCCTTCAAATAAGCTGGATCTGAGTTGTAAAGGGCTTTATAGGGCAAAATCAAAACTTTGAATTGTGCCTGGACAAAAGATTGGCAGTCAGTGAAGCTGTTATAACAAGGCAGTTGTTTGTTCCCTGTAGCCAACTCTAGTCAACAGTGTGGCTGCAGCTCTTTGGAACAGTTGAGGTTTCCAAACACTCTTCAAAAATAATTCCATGTAGTGTGTATTAGAGTAATCCAACTGAGATGCAACTGAGGCATGTGTCATCATGGCCAGATCTGACATCTCAAGGAAGTGGTGCAGCTGGTAAACAAAATTTAACTGTGCAAATGCACTCCCAGACATCACTGAAACCTGGCTTCTGGGCTCAAAGTTGAATCCAGGAGCACACCCAAGGCCTGTGTCTTCAGAAGGAGCGTAACCCCATCCAATGTGTTGACATCCAAGCCTAGAACTGAAGCCTTTCATAGAACAATCGTGACTTTGAGGATGGCCAAGGTTGTCAGAATGCTGCCTTTCATGAAGCTGGGTTTGATTCAGCATGACCAGATGAGAGCAGAGGCCCTTGTAAAACCTCAGCCCTTTTGCAAGTTAATGTCACAATTGCTAGACCTGAGCTGTCAGCTGGACTAAAGCAAATGTCTCGCAAGTACAACACCCAAGATCAGAGCTCCTTTCTGAGGAAGCTTAACAGGAAGCCCATAGCACTGAATTTACTAAGCAGGAGAATAAAGATTAAAATTTGCAGCTCAGTTTTTTCTCTCGTAGTGGCATAAAACATCTTTTTGCTTTTAGGATCCATTTAGGGATATAGTCTGAAATATGAATGCAATATTAAAATGCCTGTAGGGGTTTTCTTAGCTGCATTGTCATCATAAGTCAAAGGGAAGGCAAGCAGAGGAGTGGAGCCTCAAAGTCAGGGAAAGAATTGGAAAGGCTGGAAAAGACATCAGAGGATCCCCAAAATATGGATTCCCAGTGGTGATGGAATCCCATCAAACCCAAGTCTTTCAGAAGGATTTTACTTTTGTTGGTCTCCACAATCCTGTTTCATAGATTTTCTTTTCATAAATTTGCATCTTTCTTTTGATGATCTTGAATGAAGTGTGGTCTTACTCAAGCTATCATCTTTTATAATTCTTTGATATGAAAAAGACTTCTTCAACAAGAACTTCAAAGCCATCAGTTACAAATAATTAGTTGTTTGTAATTATTCCAGTGTGATTAAGCCAGTGTGGTGTAGTGGTTTGCGCATTGGACTACTACTTTGGAGGCCAGGGTTCAATTCCCAGCTAAACCATGGAAACCCATGAGTTTCCATTGTGGAGCGGAGAACCCCAGTCTCCAGAGTCATAGTCTGATACTCAAACCATTACACCATATTGGCTCACATTGATCTAGTGCAGACCAACGTTTGTCAAACCTCAATCCTCTGGATGTTAGGGACTTCAATTCCATATTTTTGCCTTTGGCCATGCTGCCTGAGACTTCTAAGAGTTGACATCCAAAACTGTGGAGGACCAAATGTTGAGAAACATTGGTATAGATCATAGGGTGTTACTACAGAGGAAGTAAAATGAGAGTACTTTCACTGCTTACCCCGTAAGAATTCTGCCCCCTGGATGAAATATTCCTTTTGATCCTAAATTTTTAGCTTTCCAGTCACTTAACACATCTGTTGAGCATTTAGAAATACTGTTTAAGTATCCATACAAAAGAGGCAGGCAACGTGACTAAGGGAACGTGAACCTGGCAAACAGCAGAATTCTCGTTGCAAATGATTTGTAAAGTCTTTTTCCAAGGTAGAAATTTGGGGACTCCAGGAAAATTTGCTTTGATTGAGGAAGATTCTTATTTAGGGAGCAATGAACTCATTTTGCCCCTTCACCACTGTAGCTATATCTCTGGTATATATCTTGCTTTTCTCCAGCCCACTAGCAGTGCTATATCACAGCACTGGCCACCTGTTGTGAAGTTTTTTTCTTTTTGGTGAGAAGCATTGCTTTGCTAGAGCTGGTGTCATTTCTTCAATGGATATTAAAACAATCTATTACTCCCCATCTCATGGGACAGGGCTGAATGCAAGTATTGTTATAAGGCAGTATCTTTAACAGACCAGTTTCTGTGAAGAGCACAGTTTCTGTTCTGCTTTCCAAGAACCTATTACACATCTTTTAGTGCTCTTAGTGATTGTGAGATTAGAAGGCTATCCTTATTATAGAATGGTTGGTTTTCACTGGGACACACACACTTGGATTTCGAGGGCCCAAGGAAATTAACAGCTCTGTTGAGAATCTTGCTTTCCCTCAATGATAGTCAATTATTGAATCCCCCCACCTTCTTCTGCATTGTCAGATATATCTCTTTGCATGATGGGCTGGCATGCTTGGGAGGATTGTCAGCTTCCTTTCATGTTATCTATTAGGAGAGATAATTGGGAGGAAAAGATCTAACCTCACGTTGATCGCCTGCACAATTCTGCCATCAGCCTCTGAAGAGAGACAAGACAGAAGATGGACCTGTCAAAACTTTGACTTCCTAATTCCTGAACAGCCGTTAATTCACACGGCTGCCTGATCGACTCCAAGGCAGAACACAACTCCTCTCGCACGACCTCTGGTGTCAATCATTACCGCGAGCCATCTGCATTTATATTGTCAAGGTCCAAACTTACTTTACTTCCTGAAGCATGAAATCACCTTTCAGAAGGTGGAAGAAATATAATCCCACCTCTCCTTGAAAGATAGGAACGAGGAGGGTTGTAAGCTCGGGTTACACAGAGATACTTTCCAAGGCTTGAGATCCATCTATCTGCCAGCCTCATTGGAGGCTTCTTGACTTTAACAGTGGCTGAAGATTTACTTGTAATTCCAGAGTAGGCTAGTTCACAGTATTATAGTATACAGACTGTACATCAGTGCTTTTGACTTCTAGACTGGAAAATCACAAGACACAAACCAATAAACCAGTGGAGGGTACAGACTTGGCTGCCAGTAGGGGGAGGAATCAGCTACAAATATGATTCTTTTTTTTTTAAATATTTATTTTTAACAAAAGGTAAAACACAATTAAATCGCCATTCTGCTTTGAAAGCCACAAAGTAAGATACAAATTGACAAAACTGAGGTGCCATTCAGAACTCCAGAGCAAAATCTCCTATGATGCTGTGGTGGGACTTGAGCATGAGAGAATTTATATATTCTATAAGAGGCAGCAAATGTGAATCTTAATTTTAAAGGAGCTTCTCAAGGTGCTGGACCTATTGAAGGGAGGGAATTAGAACCTTGGACAGCTCCTTTAAAGTCTAAGGGAAATACTGGGGTGAATTTACTGACCAATGACATGGGAGCCTTCAGGTGAGAATGGATGGGGTAAAATTCAATAGGTTTGCATTTTGCTATAAATGGACTAGTACATGAACCAGGATGTAATTTTGGACTTTCATACAAATGTAAGAATGCAATTTTTAAGTGCTTTTTTTTTTTTTTAAAAAAGAGTTGAATGCATACATTTATGTGCCACCACCGTGGGTGTGAGTCACTTCAGATTGAGGTGTCCAGCATCAATAACATGGCTGGACACCTAACTGTGACCACAGCAGTGGTGCTAGATGACAAATAGTGGTGCTCTTGAAAACAAGTTTGGAAGAAAATGCAAGTAGGATATATCTGGCAATGCAAGTAGGTTTCTGAGTCAGGATGGAGAGAGTTTCATATCCCTAGGTAGAACACACCGGGAAGGGGAAGGTTTTGGCTTCATGTTTGAGTACAAATAAATAGAACTCAGTTGTTTTCTTTCCCCTGCACATCTCTGCCCTATGCAATTTTTTACTACAGGCATGTACTATATGCAGTTGCACATTATAAGATGGAAGCAGGAAGGGAGAGGGAAGGATCCCTCCCCAAGATTCATTAAAAGCATTGAAATGGAACCAGCACATCAGATCCAGTTCATAAGTTTCACAGTCATCTCAAATTTTCTGAGGAGTCACTGTTTCAGTCAACACACATGATACCCAGGGGCTGTGCAGGAAGAAATTTGTGAAAACAGTGTACACTATTTTAAGATTTTCTCCCTAAAGGCCGGCATGGTAGAAGAAAAAAGGAGCTGGCATTTCTGATTATTTGTCTCTTATTTTTAAAAGAAAAATACAGATTCGGCACAAAATCCTACTCTACTAACTCATCTAGAAGGCTCTCAGAAGAACACAAGCTCTCTGTGTTCTACTAAGTTGGGAAGGGTTCAAAATGTTTTCTTACGGAACGATTTCTTTCCATGAGATGGAACAGTCTGGCCAGAGCATCCTCTAATGTTTTTTTTATACCTGCCTCCCAACATTCACTGAATGTTGCATTTCCAGAGCGTGGTTTTGCAAGACGGAGCAAATGCATCAGTAGCTGTGATGCTCATCTTATTTTTTATCTTTACATGTGATTAAAGAGAACCCAAATACAAAAGACAAACAAAAGAAATTAAATCAGAGGAAAGTTAACATGAAAAAGAGAAGAAGGAAATAGCTACATCAAGGCTAAATAAACCTGGTTTTAACTGAAAGAAGTACATGTAACGTATTTTCTTCTCTAATATAAAAATACCTGGTGTAATAAACACACAGTGGGCACACCACTCTTCCATTGAGACACTGCCAGGCAGAAGCAGTAGTGTTGTATTTTGGAGGGTAGGCATCTTCAGGTGTAACTACAATGACAGAGCTCCAGCGTTGT